AATGGAAACGGAGTTCAGAGCGTTAAGAACAAAGGATGCTCTTTTCTTCAGTTTGTGCGAGGCTTTAAGTAGTGTTGCTCTCCGAGCCAGTGTTTACAGAGCTCCTCTGTGTCTTAAAGCCAGAGCCATGTTCAACCTTTCGTAATGGAGCCCTTTGCGTAACTGCCATCAAGTGACACTTTGTGTCTGTGACAGTTGAGCAGGAAGGAAGGGTAAATAGAGCCCCTCTTTGTGCCTAAAAAAAAAAAAAAGTCAAGTAGACGGAGACGATAGCGATTTGCTCTAACCTTTTTGCATGTTATCTGATTCTATACTATAAAAACTTGTACAAGGTATTTTGCATTGTGTCCCATTTAGATAACTTAAAAAAAGTATGAAATCCATCTTTCTACAGAAGTAGTTGATCAACCATTAATAGACTTAGATAGATTTATTTTGTCATTTTTTTTATACACAAGTGTAAACAAAAAGAAATTTTGTTTAGAACAGTTCTCTAGACAATTTCATTTTTTAAAGTGCAGCCTTGATAAGATAAGCCGCAGTTGTTGTTAAGCTGCTACTACTGCAACCAGCTCCTGAAACACTCGCTTTTCCTGGCTCAGGGGAGAATATAATAGATAATGAATATAAATTAGTGATGCACGATATTAAAAATTTCAACCGATATCGATAGCCGATAATTTTCTGCTTTTCATGGTCGATACCGATTCCGATACCGAAGTTCATATTGAATATAGTTTTTGCATAATCAGCTGCTCATGCTGGATGCAGTTATGAAAAACAATTATTTAGTAGCTCTGGCTTATCTATAACGGAAAACAAAAGGTTTTGGTTCTTCAAATGTTTATTTTTTTTATGCTATCACACCAAAAAGTGTTAATTCGCTTTACATAACAATAGAAACAAATCAATTCACAATACAAAGAGCATCTCTTAAAAATTACTGAATAGATCCATGCCTGCATAGGTATTTGTGAAGTCAAATATTTATACCAAATATTAAATTATATGCATTTACATAGTCAGCCTGAGTTACAAAAATGTAATCAAAAAATAAAGTGCACCCTCAAAACACAGCTAAGGTGAAAGAAAAAATGCCAACTTCTTAAAAAATGTTCAGACACACATATGCATGGCAGCCTTATTTCAAAAAAATTAATAAAGTAAATAAAAATGCATCCTCAAATATGTGGCGAAGGCATCATTGAGGGCAGGCAGGGAGAAGTCTGAGAAGAAGCGACGGCTAGGGATGGTGTAATGCGGCTCCAAAAGTGCTATTAAGTTACGAAAACCTGGGTTCTCGACGACAGAAAAAGGCTGTTTGTCGAGCGCTATAAATTCCATCACTTTGTCGTTAATATCTTTAGCTTTTCCGCTGTCTCTTGGAAAGTTTTTAGTTTTCAAATGCCTTCTGAATGGATACATCTGCGCACCGTGTTGTTGTTGTCGTTTTAGCCTTAGCACCTCCGGCTGCTGCCGCGGCTGCTTCGTGTTCTTTCCATGTTGCTTCGCCAGGATGGCGATTTTTTTAGTTGTGTTATAAAGTTTGTTGCAAACTGCAATGCTATTGTCTTCTTGCAATAGAGAAAAAAACAACCGACCAAACTGGTGAAGACATGTTTGATAATTTACAGTCAGGCAGTAACGGAGCCAACCCTGGGTCTTGATAGTAAGGAGCGCAAAATCCACAGGTCTTGTCCCGCTTTGGGGCTACTCTGCCTGAATAAAATTCCACCAAATATTTTATCAGCCTGATAGGTATCGTGCATCCCTAATATGAATGGATAATATAATAGAAGATTACTGTCAGTATGATGATTTATATTTAATTTAAAACCAGTAACTGTTGAGTTGACCTTTTCTCTGCATTGAACCATCGACTAATAAATACTCCCTGATTATTATTACTATTATTTATCTACTTTAACTTTGGAATAATATTTCATTAGATGTGAGAAATTGCTGGCAAGACTTGCCAATATTGATTTAGAT